GTCTGGTCATTAGGAAAAAAACCAGCATTCATCTGGAACTTGTGAAGCTGGTTCCCTTATCACTAGCAAAAGGGGCAAATGACTATCTGTAGTGTCTATTAGCATACCAAAGTGCATGCTGGTCTCCAGACTTCCCCAGTATCCCAAGTACATGTTACACATTTCAGACTCCATGCTAACATCCAAACCCTTCTCACCTTCTCAGCTCACCCCTACCCTAAACTTCTCTAGCTCCTTATAACCCTACTATTTTGGCTATACTCTCTCTTTTGCCTGCACTCTCTTTGTCTTCCTCTCTCAGTCTTCCTCCCTCTTTCTGTCTTCATCATCCCCTTCTTCCTGCTCTTCTTCACTCACTCCTCTATCTCTCTGGATTCTTTCAGATGCCTCTGGCCATTCTCTCTGCCTCTCTGCCTCTCTCTCTGCCTCTCTCTGTGTGTCTCTGTCTCTCTGTGTCTCTCTGTCTCTCTCTGTGTCTCTCTGTCTCTGTGTGTGTGTCTCTGTCTCTCTGCATGTGTGTCTCTCTCTCTGCCTCTCTGTCTCTCTGTCTCTGTCTCTGTCTCTGTCTCTGTCTCTCTCTCTGTCTCTGTCTCTCTCTCTCTCATCTACAATATAAACTTGCCCCTTAGCCAGGCAGTGGTGGCACACACCTTTAATCCCAGCACTCAGGAGGCAGAGGCAGCAGATCTCTGTGAGCTCAAGGCCATCCTGGTCTGCAGAGTGAGTTCTAGGACAACCAGGACTATACAGAGAAACCCTGTCTGGGGGAAAACAAAAGACAAAAAAAAATCAAAAAACAAAAAGCTTTCCCCTTAACTAAAACATGGAGCAATCATGTGGTCGATTTATAAAACAGGGAGCCATCATCCATGCTGCATGCATGCTCTTTGCTGTAGTCACAATAGCTGCTTGAAGCCACCCAGGCTCCTACAGCTTCCCTCACCTGTTTCCTATAAGTAAATCTAATCAACTCAGTGTTCTCTAGAGGGAACTTTGGTAGATAGCACCTTGGTTTGTTCTTGGGACCACAGGAGGATGGATAGTCATTGTTTACGTCTCCCTCAGGGAAGAAATTTTAACAACATACCTTCATAAGCACAACATAGCATGCACACACACGTATGCACACAGGCATCAATAATAAAAAATACAATAATTTTAAAGGAAAGAAATGGCATTGTTTGGGGACTGAGCAGAGGACTCAATTGTAAAGTGTTTACTGTGTAAACATGTGGACCTAAATTTGATCCCCAGAACCCATATAGAAAGTCATGTGTGGTGGTGGATGCTTGTAATATGATTGCTGGACAAGTAGAAACAGATGGATCCCTGGAGCTCAGTGACCAACTAACCTAGCTGAATCAGCAAGCTCCCAGCCAGGGAAGAGATACTGCCTCAAAACATCAAAGCAGGCAACATCCCAAGGAATGACACCCAAGACTGACATCTGGCCTCCAAGCACACCAGCATACAACCAAGTATGCACACGCAAACACACACACTCACACAGTTGCTGTCCCTCCCTCCATTTACACCATCCCTCCTCTGTGCAAACACTCCTCTCTAGACAGAGACCCTGCTGAACCCCTGGAGGGGGCAGGGGTCTTCACCATACAGAATTGTTCAACAGATCCATGGGAAACGAGCAATCCATCGGTCAGTTGTCTTCCACAGGTTAGCTCTTAATAGTCAAAGACTCTTGCACTGCTCTCCAACCACAGGGAAATAGAATGGAAATTCTGCAAATGCAGATAATTAGTTCCAATCTGTCTGTGGCTGGTCAGAGCTGTCGGCTATAAAAATGCAGTTCAAAGGCTGTCAGCAGCAGCTTTTGTGAAAAATGTGTGTGTGTGTGTGTGTGTGTGTGTGTGTGTGTGTGTGTGTGTGTAGGGGGAGTGAGGGAGAGGGGGGAAAAGGGAGAGGGAGGAGAGAGAAAGTTCAGTTAGTAAAATGTTTGACTTACAAGCGTAAAGATCTGATTTCAATTCCCCAAACACCAATACAGAAAAGCCAGTTGTGGTGTAAGCACCTAAGCCCAGTTCTGGGAGGTAGAGGCAAGAGGCTCACTGGCCAGCTAGTCTAGCCTAATTGGTAAACTCTAGGCCAGTTGAGAGACCTTATCTCAAAGGAGGTTCAAAAAAAGGGAACTGCATTCCTGAGGCTAGCCTCTGCCTCCACACTCATGTGCAACACACACACACACACACACACACACACGTTAAAAAACTAGTAAAAATAGATCTTTTGGGGGAGAAAGACAGAATTGAGTTGGAGAGATGGCTCAGTAGATTAAATACTTGCAATGCAAACTTGAAGACCTGAGTTTGAGCCCAGCACACATGATGTAAAAAGCCAGGCATGGCTGTGTGCACCTGTAACCCCAGCACTGAGGAGCAGAGACAGGAGGATTCCCTGAAGCTTGCTGGTCAGTCAGCCCAGCTGAACCAGTGAGCTCCAGGCTGAGTGATAGACTCTGCATTAAAAAGTAAAGTAGTCTTGCCTGGCGGTAGTGGCACATGCCTTTAATCCCAGCACTCGGGAGGCAGAGGCAGGCGGATCTCTGTGAGTTCGAGGCCAGCCTGGTCTACAGAGTGCATTCCAGGACAGCCTCCAAAACAATACAGAGAAACCCTGTCTCAAAAAAACCAAAAAAAAAAAAAAAAAAAAAAGTAAAGTAGTCAGGGGGAGCTAGAGAGATGGCTAAGTGGTCAAGAACACTGACTGACTGCCCTCACAGAAGACCCAAGTTTAGTTCCCAGAACCCATATGGCTGTTCACAGTAACCTTTACCTCCAGTTCCAGGGAGTCCATAGCCTCTTCTGACCTCTGTGGGCTCCTACACATGCATGGTACACATATGCACATTCAGGCACACACACATATGAATATAAAATGAAATAAATATTTTTAAAGGTATAGTGTGATTTAGAAAAACACCCAATGTATGAACACATACATATGTACATACTCAGAAAGAAAGAAAGAAAGAAAGAAAGAAAGAAAGAAAGAAAGAAAGAAAGAAAAAAGAAGAAAAATGGCTAAAGGATATTGAGCTGAAAGCAACTATGTGGTCAACTATGTGGCCAGCTGCTGTGACCAAGAGTGTCAGGTATAGATGCACAGTGACACATACTTGTAATCCCAGCAGTCTTGTAAGAGGGTCTCCACAAGTTCCAGGATAGCCTGGGCTACATAGCAAAACCATGCCTCCAAAACCAAAAACAAAAACCAAAGAGAGAAGCGCTGGCAGTGGGGGAAGACAGCTGAGAAAAGTGGCTGTTATGTGGTTTCCACTTCAAAATATGTTTCGTGCTCTCACACACAACTAAATATGTATGTGATGCAGAATAAAACTCCCGAGCCAAAATCCAAACAAAAAAGAAAAAAACTTGGACCTCTTCCCGCCTTGGAACAAAGCCTGGGGGGAGTTTCCTACAAAGCCAAGGAAAATACAAGGTTAGCCTTTTGCAGGGAAGTCACACAACCAGTCCTACAAGGGTTTGGGAAAGCCTGAATTACCATAGCTTAAGAGCAGATGGAAGCCAGGAGGAAGCTTCCAGGGCAGGCCCTGGGGAGAGAAGGAGGGCAGAAGACCAAGGCTCCTAATCTTTCTGTAAACCTTGCATGCCCTTTATTTATTCAGCATCACTCTGCATATATTTTGTTACTGTATTGGTTACTTTTCTGTTGCTGTGACCGAAGGACTCCATAAGATGAAATTTAGCATAAGTAGGAATGGTTTAATTTGCCTCCACCGTCTATGGTGGTGGGGAAGGCATAGTGGTAGGAGATGAGGCCAGAAATGGTGCTGAACTATAAAACCTCAAAGCCTTCCCCAGTGACAAACTTCCTCCAGCAAAACTCTACCTCCCAAGAGTCCTATCTCTTTCCTACACCCCCATCAGCTGGGGACCAAATGTTCAAACACATGAGTCCATTGGTGACATTTCACACTTAAACCACAACATATGGGGGAGCTATCATTAGTGTTGAGGACCAGGGTCATCCCGAGACCTCACACATCACATCCAACCCCTGGCTGGTCTTAGAGGCCAGCTTCTCCATGCAACTTGAGCTTCTTCATCTCAGAAGTAAGTTCCCAGTAGGACAGGTTCAGAGGGGTGTTGACAGAGTGACCAGCCACAGACAGCCAGGAAGGTGCATGGCCTTACCTTACCTGGCTCAGCATCACCACCTGCCACATTCTTTTGGTTTTAACCATCATGTTGAATTGCTGTCCAGTCTGAATCCAAATGGAAAAGTGGTGGACTCTCTAAGTCACATGGGGCATAGCAAGGCCTCACCGAAGAAGCACAGAGAGAATATTGAGCAGGGTAAGGGTATACCCATTCCGAACCATGCCTGCTTCTCTCCAACCACCCTCTGCAGCTGCTAGAATCCAAACCACCTGTGTCTCCCTTAACACCTGTAGCAGTGCTTGCATAGAATCTGCCGGTGAGGAAATGAGGACATGAACTCGGAAGTAGAGCCCCTGCCTGGAATCTGACAATAAAAGAGCTGGAGCATGACTCAGTGGTAGAGCACCTGCCTAGAATCCCCCAGTGAGGGAGAAGAAGTGTGGCTCAGTGGTGGAGCGCCTGCCTAGAATCCCTCAGTGAGGAGGTAGAAGTGTGGCTCATGACAGTAAGGATCTGAGGATCAGTAGGATACCTTCCTAGGATCCCCCAGTGAATACCTAGAGGTCTGGGTTCAGTAGTACAGGGCCTGCCTAGAATCTCCCAGTGAGGGCCTGGGGGAAGAGCAACAGCTGACCATGCCAGCTCCCCCTCTACAGTCCTATTCTAGTTTGAGGGAGAATAACTCCCATAAGCTCATATGTTTGAGTGCTTCGTCTCCAGTTAGTGGAACCATTGAGAAGGATTAGGAGGTGTGGCCTTGTTGGAGGAAGCATGTCACTGGGATTTGAGGCTTCAAAAGCCAGTATCGGGACCAGTGTCTCTTCCCTCCTCCCTCACCCTCTCCCACTCTCTGCTCCCTGCAGATCAGGACATAAAGCTCTCAGCCACTGCTCCAGCACCAGACCTATCTGCTTCCGGACATGATGATCATGGACTAAAACTGTAAGCAAGCCCCCAGTTAAATGCTTTCTTTCATAAGAGCTGCCTTGGTCATGGTGTCTCTTCACAGCAATAGAACAGCAACTAAGACAGCTCCTAATAGTCAAATATGTCTCTTGCACCCCACCAGGATCAACTGATGCTCCCAGAACAAAACTAAAGGCCCTACTGTGACACAAAGATTCCCTGCAGTCTGGCTTCTGCACACCTCCCACGTCTTTCATGTTCGGGACTCGGCTTCCAGTCACCTCCCCCAGGGCTTCAAGGTCATTCCCCTCACTGACCGGTACTCAGACACCAGACTCTGTGTACTGCAAGCTGCTGCCAGTGTGTCCCTTTCCTCTGCTCACTGCAGGGTGACCATTGACACAGATCCTCTCAGGATACAGAAGACACAGGCTGAAAGTTAGCCAAGGAGACCCTGGGGTCAGAAGGAGGAAGCATGCTGTGTGCCTAAGCTCTGTGGCTTCTGTTAGCTTTACTCCCTCCCCATGGGCTTTCAGTTCCAAAGTTAAGAGTCTCCAGGTCAAAAAAAAAAATCTGGGTTAGGTTTATGCTCAGACTCATCTGACCAGGTAGACCTGGAGGTCAAGAGATCATGAACTTCCCCTTTCTAAGAACAGCTCAGACTGAATTTGGAAAGGCGGAAGTCAAAAATAGGGAAAGGGAAGTGAAGTGAGCGCCCACAGTCAGTGGAAACAGAACTTGAGTTCCGGGGTTTCATGGTCTCTTCACAACAATATGAACACTCAGGAGAGGAAGTCAGGGGATCTTGGGTTCCAGGCCAGTCGAGTCAAGTAAGGAGACCATGTCCCAAACAAACAGCAAAGTCAAGTATGGTGGTGCAGACCTGGAACTCCAGTTACTTGGAAGCTGGGACAAGAGAAATTCAAGTTCAACCCAGGCAACTTAATGAGACTCTGACTCAAAAAGTAAAAAGTGGCTTGTGGGTGTAGCTCAGTCATACATGTCTAGAATCCACCAGTGAAAAGCTAGAGATGTGACTCAGTGGTAGAGCTCCTGCCTAGAATTCCCCAATGAGGGCTGGGGTGTGGCTCAGTGGTAGAGCACCTGCCTAGAATCCCCCAGTGAGGGGCTGGGGTGTGGCTCAGTGGTAGAGCACCTGCCTAGAATCCCCCAGTGAGGAGCTGGGAATGTGGATCAGTGACAGAGCAGTTTCTCCTATGTGCAAAGTTCTGGGTTCAATCACTGGTTTCAGAAAAAAATAGAAAAGTTCTATTCCTGCTTGTCTTGTGCATCATTTGAGCTGCATTAACTTTAATAGCCAGTTAAAAGTGTCTGTCTTGAGGCAAAGTGGAAATTCAGTAATTTTTGTGGGTTTTTTATAAATTAAAATGATAATAAAACTACTTTGGCAAAGAGTATAAGAAAACTAACTTAAAGAGGCCCAGACACATCTGTCTGTCAGTCTCACTGGCATAAATAGAATTAATCCACACTTTTAAATGGCTTCATGATGTGACTCTATTGAGCTTCCTGGGCAAACGCTGTCTGTGTAGAACACTGTTAACTATGATTTGCTGTTCTCTAATTTATTAGATTTCGTCTACATAGCGCTGTACTTATTTTAACAAAGAGGTTTTTAAACAAATAGAAGTAAATGTAGGTTTGCTTATTCCTTCATGTGAAGAATTCTCAAGAAAATCAATTTCCATTTGCACAGGTATCTCAGTAGCCTGGCATCCCTGTTAGTTCATGCTTGCTCCTTCCATTGCTGGCATGCATGTGATAGATGGCTTCATTTCCCCCAATATGGTTCTATTGCTTGCACACAAAAAACATAGTTAAAGCCCTATTAAAGGTCTTCCTTAAAATGACAAAAATCACTAGAGCTTAGGCCGGCACAGTCTTATTATGCTTATTTACTTTTAGTGTGTGTGTGTTTGTGTCCACATGCCATAGCCCATGTGTGGAAGTCAGAGGAAAATTTGCAAGAGTCATTTTTCTGTTCTCACCTTGTAGGTCCTGGGATCAAACTCCAGTCATCAGGTTTGGTGGCCTGAACCTTCATCTGCTGAACCATGTCAGTGGCTCCTACATAGTCTAACTTATTCAGGCAAACCAGAGACATCCAGGAAGGTGTGTGGTGCCCAGGGCAGTGGGACATGTTTGATTTCATCTGCAGTCCCTGGGCATCTGTTCATTAACATATCTGTAATGGCATCAAATGGAAGAAGGGGTCTCCACCCCAGCATGAGAAGGTCCAAGGGTAAATTCTCCCTCCTCTTTTAGAAATTGTGTTTCTTGGCAAAAGGGCATGTCTGAGATGGCCCCCACCACAGTTCTAAAGCTGGTAGATCTTAGGTCTTGGGTTTGCTCCTAAGTGGTCCTGTTGAAGTAAGTGTGTGTGTGTGTGTGTGTGTGTGTGTGTGTGTGTGTGTGTAGCAGAGTTTGATGTCAGCTATCTTCCCCAGTCACACTAAACCTCACCCATTTAATTTTTTTCTATTAAATGTATTTATTTATTTATTTACTGGAGCAAGGGCATGGTTTTGAGAGGCAGCATGATATACATGGGGAGGTCACAGGACAACTTGCAAGAGTCAGTTTTCTCCTTCTGCCAGGTGAGTCCTGACCAAACACAGGTGGCCAGGGGTGGTGGCAAGCCACTGCTCAGGCTAGACTGGCCATCAAACTCCTGCTATGCTCCTGACTGTGCCTCCCCATCCAGTGCTGGGGTGACAGACCTGTGCCACCGTATGGAGCTTCAAGTGGATGCTAGCGATCTGCACTCAGGTCCTCGCGTTCTTTACTGACAGATCCATCTCTCCACCCTCTTGGTTACGTTTATCTTGGTGCCTTCATCCTTGAGTGGAGAGGAGATAGGCTGCCTATCGAGAAACAGACTCTCCTGTAATGATGAATATGCTCACATTCAGTGGTCAACGGATGACTGACCAGAAGGAATGAAGACAGAAAGAGGATGAAGATGGAGGTTCAGGGCCTTTCTTCTTCTCATACTTAACTCATGGGCCTGAGAAAGGACCACCTTTGTACTGAAGCTGCCTTTTATACATATTCAGGGAGCAAATATTTGTTGAACTAAGAATACAAGTCTTAGCTTCCATATACACATGAACTGATGATGTTTTAAGAGCAATGAGGTCTGTGGGTTGCATTGAAAGATTGAAAGCCTTCCCAGGGTTGGCACACCCCTCCCTGCACGTCCCCTCTCCTCTCTCAGGCTCCCCACGTTCCCACCAGCAGATTCATTAGAACTTGCATGAGCACCATAGAAAGAGTGTCACTGTTCCCTGTAGTCCTTTTGGGGATGCACAATGCACAAAGGTCCTGGGAAGTCCCTCAGTGAAAAGAAAAAGAAAAAAAGGAGATTAAAGAGCTTTTTAGCTATGTCTTATCCAGTGCTGTACATCTTCTGAGAAGAGAACCCAATCAAACTTATCGAAACATAGAATTTTTTCTTGCCCCAACTGCTTTCCTCCCATTCCAACTCATTCTTTTTTCTTTTGCCTGCTTTGTATCATGTACCATAGTGGGTGCTAGCATAGTGACTGTGAATGAAACAGACATGTCTCTTATCCTTACTAGAAAAGACAGGTATCACAGACTTTCTTGGAACATGATTTCAAGCATGGCATGAGCCTGGTGATGATGGGAAATTCTAGAGGCTAGTTTGCCTTGGGAAACAATACCCTATGGCTATGGTTTGTAAAGCTTATTTGTTGAGATATGGGGTTATTCTGTAACCCCTCCATGCCTTGAACTCACTCTGTAGCCAAGATTGACCTCAAACTCAGGGCAATCTTCCTGCAGTGGTATCACCATATCCACTTGATTCTCAAGCATTTGTTTGTTTGTTTATTGAGACATGATCTCACTACATAGCCCTGGCTGGCCTGAAATGCCCTGTATAGATCAGGCTGGCTCCCAACTCATAGAGATTTATTTCCTAAGTGCTAGGATAAAAGGTGTACACTCCCACATTTAGCCTCTCATGTATTTTTAAGGGAAACTTTTCTCTCTTTTTCAGTTTCTTTATTATTATTATTATTATATTTGTATTATTTAAAACAATTTTCAAATTCAAATCTATTTTGATCATATTCTTCCCTTTCACCAAGTCCCTCCAGATCCTCTCCCCTCCCTACCCACCCAATTTTAATTTTTTCTCAAAAAAGGAATAAAACTCCACTACAAGAAAACAAAAGATTAAAAAAACTATACCAAATAAAAGCACACACACAAAAAGTGAAGTTCAATTATATCTTGGTCAGCTACTCCTGAACATGAGGCTTGTCCTGGAGTGGTTGGTATACCCACTGTCACTCTATTGGAGATATAGCAGGTATAAATAACAATTCTGTTCCTAACCTTAATCCTCATGACTAGGTTTTCATTCATTCATTCGTTCATTTATTCACCGTGGGGGCAGGCAACAAGACAAACCAACAGAAGGAAAAGAGCCCAAGAAAAGGGACAAGAAACAGAGACCCACTCATTTGTACACTCAGGAGTCCCATAAAAACATTAAACTGGAAGCCATACTAAATACACACAGGTGCAGACCCATGCAAGCCCTGAGCATGCTGCTTCAGTCTCTGTGAGTTTGTCTGAGCTTCAATTATGTTGGTTAGAGGGCTTTGTTTAATTTGTGTCCTCTATCCCCTCTTATGGTTACACTCTCTCTGCCTCCTCTTCTGCGGGGCTCTTTGATGGAGACCTTCCATTTAGGGCTGAGTGCTCCCTCTAGTCTAGCTGTGTGTCTCTGTATTTGTTCCCATCTGCTACAGGAGGAAACTTACCTTATGATGGCTGAGCAAGGCACTGATCTATGAGTATAGCAGAATGTCTTTAGGAGTAATTCTATATAGCTATTCTATTTTTTTAAGACCAGTGTTATTTGGTTTTATTCTAGGTGCCTGGGCTGTCTCAATCAGTTCTTGGTCACCCAAGCAGTGTCAGGTTTGGGTTCCATTTCACAGAGTGCGCTGTAAGTCAAATCAATAATTGGTTGGTTGGTTACTCCACAAGCTTCATGCCGCCATTGTCCTAGTGTATCTTGCAGGCTGTATACCATTGAAGATGAAAGGCTATTGTCTGGCTTGGTTATTATGTTTGTGTTTTGAGAGCATATAGAATTCCAAAGACGCTGGAACACAGGGGTTCCGGCTCGATGTAGGCACCACCTTGACTTCTCCATGTTCAATGAGTGATGTGGGTGTCATCTTTAGCAGTGATCCTACGCCATCAGTTTGTGAAGAGCTGTTAGGGAAACTTTGATGAGCAAAGGACTCAAACATTCATCTTCAGGGCAGGAGAGAGATGGCTCAGTGGTTAAAAGCACTTGTTGTTCTTGCATAGGACCAGGGTTCAGTCCCCAGCACCCACATGGTGGCTCACAACCATCTGTAACTCCAGTTCTAAGGGATCTGGCATCTCATTTGGCCTTTGAGGACACCAGACATGCCTTGAGTGTGGTGTAGTCGTCCATCCATGTAGACAACACACTTATACTCATAAAATAAATAAATAAACCCACCTTCCATCCTCTGCCACTCCAAAGCTCTTGTATAAGATGACAGCTGCCTCAGGGAGACCCAAAAAAGCCACTACAGACACAGAAACCCAATCTTCACCTTAAAGGGAATGAGATAGTATATTCTGGAGGCAAATATGAGTGGCCATGACTAGGGAACATGTATTTAGGCTATCTTTAAGTCTGTATTATAATAACAAAACACAGGAGATTATAAATCAAGGCACTTTTCAAATACATTGGTGGAAATAGTGGGGAGTTTTTAAAAGAAGTTATGGCAAAGCAGAGAAACCTCTGTTTTAGGCCTGGGGCATTATCTGATGATACACTTAGTCTTTTGGTTGGTGGAAGCTGGGAGCCTGTTACCATAGCCAAAAGGTCTTATCTATTAGTCACAAGGATGTCAAGTCGAACACAGGGGTGGGCAAGGGATGGCTATTGAGGGGACTGAAGACATTATGAGATAAATGTAACTAAGCTCCAGACCTGCAACATCCCAACCTCCCCACAATCACTGTTGTTCTAATCAGTATATCAGCCTTGCAGAAGGCTCGGCAGGAGTTGTAAATCTTTCCAGGAACTTTAGTTCACACCATGTTCCAATTTGTGTTCACTTTCAAAGCAAGCCAGATCACACTGGGAACGCAGACAGCATTTTCAAATGGATTCGGTCGGAGACGCCCCCCAGAAAGTGTTTTGTGATTACACATCTGATGGTCCTTTGGTCTCAAAGACTGACTAAGGGCTCCAGGTTCAAGATTAAGGTTCCAGTGGACTTTATGTGGAATCTGCCTAAGGGAATGATAAGACTAGTGCATCCTTGTTGAAGTGTTCTGAGACAAGCTGGGGCATCAGCTCAGTGGGTAAAGTACTTGTACAAGCATGGGGTCCTGGATTTGGATCCTCAGTGCCCTGTAAAAGCCAGTGTGGTGGCATGCACCTGTAACTCCAGCACTGCTGGGAAGGGCACAGAGACTGGAGGATCCTCAGAGCACACTGCACAGCAACTCTAGCTGAAGCAGTGAGCTCCAGAGTCAATGTGAAACACTGTCTCAAAAAAATAGTAATAAAGTATCTGGTGATTGAGGAAGACTTCCCGTTGTGTGTTGAAGATGCACACATGCATGGGTGAGCACATACATCCCCACACATGCACACAAAGACAACAAATTGAAAAATTAGGCAAGGGGCTAACAAGGTGGCTCAGTAGGCAAAGGAGCTTGCTGTCAAGCCTGGTGACCTGAGTTCAACCCCCAGAACCCACACAGTGGAAGGAGAGACCCCACTCCTGTAAATTGTCCTAAATGAATGTAATTTTTTTAAACCAAGCAAGATCAGCCACCAAGACTCATTAGCACCTGGGCCTTTCCACTCTTTTTGTTTCAAGACAGAATGCTGCTATGTAGTCCAGGCTGGCCTGAAGCACACAACTCTCCTGCCTCAATTTTCACATGTTGGGACATAGGCACACTCGTTGAACACAGCCCCTGGGCTCTTTGGGTGAACTCTGCCTTCTAGCTCTCTGCCTTCTGAAATCCCACACTGGAAGTACACAGTAAAACCAGGACCTGGAGTAGATTCTGGAATCCTAAAAATACCCAGCAAAACCCAAAGCTGTGAGGAGACAGTCTTTGGTTCAGGAAACACAAGATCGATCCTGTTACCTCCTGCTGTGTAATTAAAGCTGGAGACACAGGCACCACATCTCTTCACAGGTAAGGAGCACAGTCATTCACTGTTCTGTAAAACTTAAACACCTTGGCTAGACACACATCCCCCTCCCCCTTCCTCAAAATACATAAGCAAAAACTATTCCCTGCAGCCTCTTTCATGGTGGGAAGGGCAGGTAGGCTGGGCAGGGGGGACTCTGAAGAGATCAGCGTTTTTCTTGCATGTTGGAACTTCAGTGACACTTCAGAGCCTGGACACTGTACTCTCACAAGGCAATTCGCTTTTCTAATGAGGTTTTAACAGTGACATATTTAG